TTATCCACACCTGTTGATGATGCCGCGCCGCTAACAGAGCCTGGCATGATCTCTTCATTTCCGAGTCATCTCTATACAACACACATACAAATAACAGCGTAATCCAAGAATCCCGCGAGCAAAGATCACGCCTTACTGTGCCGTTGTACTCCAGTACCCAGCAGGGCAGCAGGCACTCAGAAGACCACAAGAACCTCTATTGAATAAGATGTAACTTATGCTGAAATGTATGCTAATGTCAATACCATAGATTATTATTTCAGAGCAGACACTATTAACTGCTCATTGACTCATGGACCTGGAGCTGAGGACTCACAAAGGGAGGCTCATCACAGGACAGGGAGTGAGAAGACAAGGGAACTGTGAACTCACTGCTGGCCTGTCCATTCTCCCCCCTCCCTTCCCTCCTCCTTCCCTTCTTTCCCCTCTCTCTTTCCTCTCTCCTTCCCTTTCTCCTTCTCTCCACCTCCTGCCTGCCCCTTTCTCTCTCTCCTCCCTCCCTCTCTCCTGCCTGCCTCTGATTTTTTTTTTTTCTGTGTCAGAAGCAATCAGTTGATCTCACCAGAGAACAAGAGGCAGCTGGGAAATGCTAATGTGACTTTTCTGTCTTCTTGACCCAAAGACTACACTGAGTGTACGTTTGCATAGTGATATGCCCCATGGGTAGAGGAGGCTGGGGCAGGCAGAGGAAGCAGGTTTCAGAGACGTGATCTTGGAGTGCAATCACTCGCCATTTGTATTAAACAAAACAATGTGGTTTTTCTTGCGTGCACTTGTGCATGTGAATACACATGTATTGGGATGAATAGAGACGCCAGAGGTCCACATCCTGTCTGTATCTTCCTCAAGGGCTCTCCACTTTGACTTTTGAGACCACTGAGCCTGTAGCTTATTGATGGGCTGTCTGGCCAATGAGCTTCAGGAATGTGCCTTTCACTCCAGAGGTGCTGGGGACCCAAACTCAGGGCCCCATGCTTGCTCTGAGCCATCTCCCCAGCCCAGAGACAATGAACTTTAATGACTTAACACAATGTTTGTCTCGAGTCACAGGAAGGAAAGCCATGAAAGTCACCAAGCCACTGTCACTGCCATTGTCACGATTATTACTACAAGTATAAAGGCTGAGCGTGCTGGAGACTGCGTCCCTGCCCGGATGCTGCAGGAGAGCACAGTCTAACCTCAGCACCCTCTGGTGGCAGGGCTTAGACTGAACATCTGCCATAACTGCCCTCTTGTGAGAATTCGAAGCACGTTGGCTTGCCCTAATTGTCCTGTTTCCTGGGGCTGACTTGGGGGCCATGCCACATTCAGTGAATAACTAGACCAGTGGTTGTCAGCCTTCCTAATGCTGTGACCCTTTAGTTCATGAGTTTAGTCCTCATGTTGTGGTGACTCCAACCATGAAATTATGTTTGTGGCTACTTTATTTTGCTACTGTTATGGATAGTAATATAAATATCCATGTTTTCTGATGGCCTTAAGTGACATCTGTGAAAGGGTCATTTGACTCCCCCCCACACACTCCCCACCCCCACCAAAAGGGTCACGACCCACAAATTGAAAACTGCTGGCCTAGAGAGAGCTGTTCCAGCATCACAGCCTGCCAGTGAACAAAGTAAGGGAAACAGTATCAACCCCAGAAGATCTGGTTCATTTGAAACTGTGTCTTCAAGTAAGTGTCTTAGCCTCTGTGTGCCTCAGGAAAGGCTAGTGTGTGGATTAATCAGAAAGAGTTGGCAGGGTCCTGTCAAAGGTGCAGGCACTTGGCCCTTCCTCTCCTCTGGAAAGCTCCATCTCCATTTGTGTTATGAGGACAAAGTGCACGTATGCTGTGATTCTATCTCGTGAATATTCATGCTGTGATCCTATCTCATGAATATTCATGAGGGGCTAGTGCTAGAAGAAAAGACTGTACTTAATGGGTTCATTGGCGGGAATTGCCCTGATAAGTCAGTGCAAACCAGGTAGCATAAAACAACAGATCCACCCTCCACATCATTGCTGGGGCTGGAGGCTGAAACCAAGGTGTCAGTAGGCACTTGCCCCTCCACCCCATCCCCAACCCCTGCACCCCCCAGGATCCATCCAGGAAGGATCTGGTCCAGCAGTACCATGGATGGTAGTTCTGTAACTCAGTCTTTATGTGATTCTCCTGTGTGACTATGTCAGACTTTTTGTCACTGTGACAAATTCCTGAAAGAAAAAAAGGAAAGAGATTGTGACTAGGGAGATGACCGAGCAGTGAAGCTTACGGTGGGAGCATGAGGACCTGAGTTCAAATCTCAGCAGCCAAAGAACAGAGTGGCCGTGTGCATCTACATTCTGAGGCGTTTTTCTGGGTGGTTGGATTTTGCTTAAAATCTGTTTCTTTTGCTTCAGTTAAGTGTGGCAAAGGCCTTTGGAGGTGATGGTTTTAACAGTAGTTCTCAAATCATGGGTCTCAACTCCTTTGGGGTCAAGTGGCACTTTCACAGGACTAGCATATCAGATATCTGGCATATCTGATATTTATATTACAATCATGACGGTAGCATACTTACAGTTATGAAGCAGCAATGAAGATAACTTTATGGTTGGAGGTCACCACCACATGAGGTCTGTATCAGAGGGTCACAGCATTCAGAAGGCTGAGGACCACTGCTTTAAGGTATCAGCACCTGTCAGGGCATATATGCCTGGTAATGTTTTCAGCAGTCTGAGGGCAAGTGAGGGCCCTTGGGGAAGCTCCCTCACACTGTCAAAAGTGGAACTCAGGGCCATCTTAATACTAATGCTGGCCAGAAAGCTGCTACAGAGGTCACCTCCTCGCTGCTGGGTCTCTGTACAATTTAGAAACTTCCCTGACCTGTTGTCAAAGCAAAAATAAACCATCTGTTCAACAAATATTTATTAAATGAGACAAGCAATGTCTCCATCTCTCAAGACCAAACAATTTAGTCACAGGAAAAGCCAACACGGGGGGATAGCAGACTGACAGCAAGGACTGCTGAGATCTGAGTCCCTTCAACTAGGCTGGAGGGAGAACCAGACCCAGAACCCAGAACAGGGAGAAAAGAAGCCATGTCAGGTAGCAACAGATCTTTGATACACATGGGCAAATCAGACAGGTCTCAGTTAAATAACTAAAGAGCCAATATCTCACTGATGGTTAGTTTAGGATGTTTAACAAAGTTGTTCTGCCTAGAGCCCTGGTCAGGTGTTTTGTTTGCTTGTTTGTTTTTCTTTGTTTGTTTCAATGAACTTATTACTGAGACAGAGTGTCACAATAAGGACCAGGCTGGCCTTGAACTTGTGATCCTCCAGCCTCATCCTACTGAATACTAGGATTACAGGCATGGGTCACCATGCCCAGCTTGGTTTATATCTTGAAGGCAGAATTCTCTGAGAAGGTCACAGCTCACACCTTCACTTGGCTTGAGCTCTCGTCCCTAGCTGCTTCCGCTTTCTGTGCATTACCCAGTGTCCTAGATCTGCTTCCAACATTGCTTTATAAGAAGTTTCTTGAGGCCACAGCTGCAGGGGCTGTTAAGTCTGAGACAGCAGCAGAAGCTGCTGAAGGGAGTGTTAGGTCCAGAATCTTGGGATTCCCTCCAGTCTCTCTGGGGTTGGAACAGAGGACTGTATGTCTAAGGAAGTTCCTGGAGACTGATCCTCTGTGCAGGGCCCCACCTGGACTGCCTAACAATACATTCATTGGCTCATTCCTGAGTGGATACTAATGTATCACAGTTCTGTATAGGAACTCACCTATGCATCCCAGGCACCCTCAGAGGGAAGCAGGGATGGTGAGCTTTCTAGGTTGAGCAGTTACAAAGAAAGGCAAAAGGTTACAAAGAACAGAGGAAGGGAAGGGATAGGTTTGATTCCCAGGGCTTGACACAGGAAAAGAGGGGATGTGAAGAGGGAGAGGTCCTAGCCTTACTGGTTCAGTTTTGTTCCATGTTCAACATTTTTACTTTGAAAAAATATGACTTGAGTTAAATCAAACATCTGGCAATGTTTGATCAAACATCAATCAAACTGGGCCTGGTTTGGGGGATTGTCCTGTCCTCAGTGACAGAAAAGGCAACTGTGTGGGATATAGGTAGGGGCTGGAGCCTGACTGGGGTCTGAAATATTTACAGTACTAGTGACAGGAGTGGATCTGTGACAGGAAGAGAGAAGATTGGCCAGACAAGGGCCCATTTGTCTTTTTGTCCAGAGTGCAGCAACTGTCAGGGGCTGGCTGTTAGTTTCAAATAGTTAGCTCACTAGTCTTTAATGTAGATTTGGGATCAGCTGACAGAGAGTAGTCAACACTCACGTGCTGGTTAGTTTTAAGTATCAACTTGACACACCTAGCATCACCCTGGAAGATAGTCTTTCAATGAGGGATTGCTTATGTTGTGTTGGCTTCGGGCATGTCTCTCTCTGTGTGGTGGTGGTGTCTTTATTAAACTAATTCATGTGGGAAGAGTTAGTCCACTGTGGGGTGGCATCATTTTCTAGACAAGTAGTCTTGAACTGTATAAACGAGGAAGAAGCTAGCCAAAAGCAAGTGAGCACGAATCCATGCATTTATTATTCTCCGAGCTCCTAACTGTGGTGACGGTATTCTGAGTTCCTGCCTGGACTTCTCCATAGTAACTAACAGGCTGTAACCTGGAATTGCCAAATGCATGCTTTCTCCCATGAATTGCTTGTTGCTGGGTTATTTTACCACAGCAATAGAAATGAAACTAGAGTAACTCACCAAGGTCTGCTGGGAAATAGATACATGTTGGTCAGGGCATGTAGCTCAGTGATAACAGAGTATCGACCTAGCATGTATGAGGTCCCCAGTTTTCCTCCCTTCCCTCAAATAAACAACAGCAAAAGGAAAGCAACATGTATTGTCTATCCTGTGAATCAGTCATGGCCGCTTTTTAAGAGAGGACAACTCAGTAGGTCCGTCTTGCTATCTTGACTGATGCAGGGCATGTCTTCCAGACTAACCGACGTCTCCTTTGTGTCTTTTCCAGGCCCAGCTGTCTCAGGCCTTAAACGGGGTTTCAGATAAGGCCAAAGAGGCAAAGGAGTTTCTGGTTCAGCTCAAGAACATACTGCAGCAGATCCAGGTGAGTGGACTCTGATGCTGGACAGACAGTGTGGCTGTTTGTCTAACACAGAGAGAAGGAGGACAAGTCTTGGGACAAGCGATTATCCACAATGATTTTTAAGAGGGTTGACCTGTCTGGTTGTACAATTGTGGGTGCTAAAGGTGCCACTCTCAGCCTGTTTACATTCAGGTAACGCCACTGGTACTTAGGCACGCCTGTGTATTCAAATCAAAATATAAATGTGTATTCAAAATATAAACACCTCGTTTCCTAAATAAATGTGTTATCTGAGTGTTCACACTATGCCCCAGGCTGAGCCTGACAAACATACAGAAACCAGTGAGTCTTGCTTCCGTGAGTTATATGCAAGGGTAGAGAGATCAAGCATGAACGTATAGAGGATCTGCCTGCACAGAGGGAGGCCCTGTGCATTTAGACCTTGCTGGAGAAAAGGACTGAGGACCCTGATTCCTTTCTTCTTTATTCTCCTATTCCTCCCGTACCTTTCCTCATCATATAGATACGTGTGTGTGTGAGTGTGTGTGTATATGTGTGTATATGTGTGTATATGTGTGTATATGTATATATATACATGTATGTATGTATGTATATGGTCTCATTATGAAACCCAAGCTGGCCTCAGACTCTCAATCCCCCTGCCTCAGCCTCTCAAGGGCTAAGATGATAGACATGTAATGCCCACCCACCCGATCCCCACAGACAGTCTTAAGTCACAGGCTTAACCACCACTTAAGTTTCATGCACGCAGATGTAGCTACTTTCTCTGAGTGCCACCCGAAGAGATCAGACATGGAGCAGAGGCAGCAGCAGAAATGGATTGATTCAGTTCAGCGACTGCAGGCACAAGGTCACCGGCTGGCTCCTCCCGAGGCGCCTCTGCTTGGCTGGCAGATGGTAGTTCTCTGTGTCCTCGTGTGATTGTCCCTCTGTGTGTGTCTGTGTCCTGATTTTTTCTTCTTATAAGGACACCAGTCAGGTTGGACTGGGGCCACTCTGATGGCCTCATTTTAACTTCCGGATTCAGACACAGCCACACTGTGTGATCCTGGGGCTTATGATTCAGAATTGATCCAAGGGCACAATTTAGCTCGTACCCAGAAGCCATTATCTACCCAGATTCTAGAGGCCTGGAAGCAGAGGCAGGCAGGCAGGCAGGCAGGCAGGCAGAGAGACAGACAGACAGACAGACTCACTCACACTACTTTGTTTGATTTACCTTTTTTGATTACAAAAAGCAAAGTATGTGTTACAGAGATTTTTAGAGTTTGGAAGACAGAACTGAGAAGAAGCACACCAACATCCCTCATCTGAGGTGACCATGCTTGACACACACACACACATGTATATACATATGTACACATGCACACACATATACACACACACTTATTGTATATGGGATCATTTCGTGAACAACTTATATCCTGTTTTCTTTCTTTCTCTCCCTCTTTCTCCTCCTCCTCCTCCTCCTCCTCCTCCTCCTCCTCCTCCTTCTCTTCCCCTTCCTTTTTTGAGACAAAGTCTCTGGGGTAGCCTTCAGCTCACAATCCTCCTGCCTCAGACTCACAGGTGCTGGGATGACAGGCATGCCTGGCTTCACCCAAACTTTTTCCTCTTTATCTGTTTCTCATGATCACTTTCCCCTGACATTAAGCATTTTACGAACAGACTGCAGAATGCCTCGCCATGTAGACGTGCCATGGTTCATGGAACCCTCCTTAGTGCACAGTCATGATTCACACTGTTTCCTCTGGACCCCAGAGGCCGGCGCCTGCTCATCATAGCCCTCTGCTTCCTTAGGAAAATGGGCTAGACTATGAAGCTTGCCTGGTGGCTCAGTGTGATGCCCTGGTGGATGCCCTGACTCGGCAAAAAGCCAAGCTGCTCACCAAGGTGACCAAAGAGAGGGAGCACAAGCTGAAGGTGAGAACTGCGTGACCTCTTTCTCCATCCCTATTAAGTCGTTGGCACCCAACACGGGACCGCACTGCCTTAAGCAATGCTGCCAGGATATGACTCTGAGTTGGCCGGTCCAGTTACACTCAGGAGGCAAGAGAGTCTCCAAAAGGTGGCCTGCAGCTTCCTGCTGCCTTCAAATCAACCTGTCCTCTCCCATTTGCTCTGGACTCCTCAGTCTGTTGAGGGGCAGGATGGGAGTTTGGGGGATCTTTGTTCATCTTGCCTAATTCTTGGGACAGTGACAGAAGCAGTCTGACCTGGCTCAGGTCTTCAGACTCTGTTATCTCATGCTCCCATAATCAGCAATGAGTGTGGCCAGGTTCTGCCAAGGAACACTGAGTCTTGTTCCTTATCTGGCATTAAGTTCCTGGCTCAGGGAATGGCTTAGAATGCTCTGAAATGGTTTCAAGGAGCTCTGTGCTAAAGGTATCTACCTCAATTAGCAAACACTTTTTTTTTCTTTTAGAGAGGGTCTCAGGTTGCTACCATGCTGGCCTCAAACAGGTAGCCCAGGTTGGCCTCAGACAGGATGGCTCAAACTTCATATGTAGCTGGGGATGACCTTGAACTGCTGAAACTCCTGACTGCTGGGATTCTAGGCACACACCATGTTTCTGGGTTTATTTGGTGCTTCGGGCATGCTAGCTGAAGCACTTTACTAACTGAGCTACATCCCCACGTCAGAAAACACTGTTTCAATGTATCTGTTTCTCTGAGGTAGCGATTCGCTATGTAGTCTTTGGTGGCTGTAAACTATGAAACTCAGTACTTATCCCAGCCTTCCTGAGTACACACCTGGGTCATAAAGCAGCACTTTAAAGAGAAAAGGTTGTGGGCTGGAGAGATGGCTCATCGGTTAAGAGCACTGACTGCTCTTTGGGAGGTCATGAGTTCAAATCCCAGCAACCACATGGTGGCTCACAACCATCTGTAATGAGATCTGATCTGATGCCCTCTTCTGGGGTGTCTAAAGCTATGCCGGAGGGAGAAAGTGGCAGCTAGGGGTGGTATGGCTCAACACTGCCCTTCTGAGCTCAGGCACCCACTCAAGAGCTGTTTGCTATAACCCAACTGCTTTTTCTCATAAGTAGGCGCTCGCTCTCTCTCTCTCTCTCTCTCTCTCTCTCTCTCTCTCTCTCTCTCTCATGCAGATGGTTTGGGACCAGATCAATCACTGCACTCTGAAGCTACGCCAGTCCACAGGCCTGATGGAATACTGCCTGGAGGTGATCAAGGAAGATGACCCCTCTGGGTTCCTGCAGGTGAGCATCCCTGCGGGACTATCACAGATCACACCCTTCCCCCAGTGCTCCCTGCTCTTCCTGAAGCAGCTCATGCTCTAGGCTCTGTTCTGTTCCTCCCTGGTTGGGACTTGAACCTCTTTAGCTTCTCCTTTGCTCTGCAAGGACAGAATGCCTAGGCTGTCATCATGGCTCTGACCTTCCCTAGAAGGAACCCTAATTCCACATCAGCCATAAAGGAGAAGTGAACGGGCACTTTTAGAGTCTTGAGGGACTAAGTGCCACGCTTCAGTATTCTTTCCAGTGATGGGAAAACGGTCCATGACAAGTGAGCTGGACAGACCGCACAGAGAGGTGAGGGCCAGAATCCATTTTCCCACAGAGAGGGTGCAGCCTTGTTGGGGACATTGCTCCAGCATTTAGGCTAGCTCGAGGACATGCATTCCTAGAAACATGGCCATGTGTCAGTCTACCTGTGGGAGAAGTGATAGGCCCCATTGCTTACTCTCCAGAAAGTCACACAAGGGACTGAAGAGATGGCTTAGCACTTAAGAACACTTGCTGCTCTTGCAGAGATCTGGGTTTGGTTCCTAGCATCCACATGGTGATACCCAGTGATCCTTAACTCCAGTCTGAGGAGGCCCCATGCTCTTGTCTAATCTCCTTGGGCACTAGCCACACACTTGGTACACAGACATACATGCAGGCAAAGCATCCATACACATAAGAGAAAAAGTGAATCTAAGAAGAAAAAGAGAAGGAGAAAGAGAAGCAGAAGATGTATGACATCATGGCTCTTTGGATGCATGACGTCATGACTCTTTGCGGACATCTGTGCAGGTCTTGGAAGCAGGATTTTGCAGCAAGGGAAGGCAGAGCCATAGGTGTGACTTGCAGTCAGGCAAGGCAAGGACTCACAGAGGAAGCTGTGGAATAGCTGGAAGGAGACATAGCAGGACGACATGGGCCTCAGAACTTGAGAGGCTTGGCCAGACAGATGTATGACAGATATGTTTGTATATCTGAAAACCACCATGACTTCATAATAGAGCTTTCCAACTCTAACACACACACACACGCCTGTGTGGGTGAACTGTGGCTGAGACAACACAGTGTGTCTAGGTGGTCAGAGGTCATTTAAGCCTGGTCATGGCTCGATGATGGTCCAGGCTCAGTCCACCTCCTCTTCTCTTCACTGAGCTATAGACAACACTGAGCCCTTTCCCACAAAGGCTGGTAGCTCTTAACCTGCAGACCCAACCCTTCTGTCTGTGCTCCCTTTAAGATCTCAGACGCCCTGATCAAGCGCGTGCAGACCTCGCAGGAGCAGTGGGTCAAAGGCGCCCTGGAGCCCAAAGTATCTGCGGAATTTGACCTGACTCTGGACAGTGAGCCGCTGCTGCAAGCCATCCACCAGCTGGATTTCGTCCAGATGAAATGTAAGGGTGAGCTGTGATCCGACTCATTTAGAGGGGCTGCCTCCCCAAGGGCCACACAGGTTAAGGGCAGCTGGGTGGTGGTGACAGAGGCCGGTCATGCAAGGTGGCAGAGGCAAGGATGAGTGTCCTAGGTCTTAACCAGACTGGGCGAGCCGCAGGCAAACTTGAGCTGCCTTACGTAGACCAAGGATCAACAGTAGAAAGCAGAATGGACACGGGTTGCACCCTCCTGTAATCTGAGCAAGAGGAGAAGAGGAAGAGGAGGAAGAAAAGGAGAAAGGGGGAAGGAGAAAAGTAATGGAGAGGAAGAGGAGGGAGAAAAGGAAAAAGGAGAGGGAGGAGAGGAAGTAAGGGAGGAGGGAGAGGAGGAGGGAGGGAGAGGAGGGAGGGGAAGAGGGAAGAAGAGGAAGGAGGAGGGAGAGAAGAAAAGAAGAGGAGGAGGGAGGGGAGGAAAGAGGAGGGAAGGAAGAGAAAGAGGGGAGAGGAGGAGGGAGGGGAGGAAAGAGGAGGGAGGGGAGAAAAGGAGGAAGAAGGGAGAGGAGAGGAGGAGGGAGGGGAGGAGGGAAGAGAAGGAGGAGGGGAAGAGGGAAGAGAAGGAGGGAGAGGAGGAGGGAAGGGAGGAAGGAAGAGGATGAGGAAGAGGGAGGGAAGGAGAGGAGAAGAGAGGGGCAAAGAGAGGGGAAAGGAGGAGGGAAGGAGGGAGGGGAGGAGAAATGAAAGGGAGGGAGGGGAGGAGCGAGGAGGAGAGAGGAGGAAAGAGGAGGAAGGAAGCAAAGGATGAAAGGAAGAGGGCAGGAGAAGCCACAGGGAAGAACTTAGCAGGTGGCAGAGGGCAGGGCTGCCAGGGCCCCAGGGCAGGAACAAGCTTCTGTTCCAAGAACAGGGAGAGCAGGGCGGACGAGTGGAGGACGGTGGGAGCTGGGCTCGGGGAGCCAATAGGGACCCACAGCCAAGGTCAGTGATACTTGAACAGCTTGGCTGATCCCAGAGTTTACAATGAATGGATGGATGGCCAGACCTGGGCTTCTGTCCTAGGCACCATCTTCCCCAAGATACCCAGCGCTCATTCAGAAGGGAAGGCAGGCAGTGCTGTGGTGGCAGGGGGACGACCATGTCGCTGACTTCAGGGCCATCCTGAGGCTCACTCCTATTCAACTTGCACCTGGACAAGGTTTGGAAATTCCACCTGCCCGGGTGTAAGTGAGACACAGTTACAAGGAGCCAGTGCCTGGCAAAGGGGGTGGGGAGCTGTGGCTGGGGAAGCTAGTCCTGGAAATTGGGGGCTCTGAGGCAAGAATCTTGGGAGTATAGGTCTGAATTTTAGGGTGTGGGAGGAATAAGTGGTGGCAAGGGTCTCCTTCAGCCAAGTAGAGGGAGGGATAAGCTGAAGCAGTTACATGCCCTTGACACAGACTCACCTTTCTGGGCATCAGCTAGCCCTGAAGAGACAATAAGTTCATTCTGAGTGAAGATGAGCCTTGCAGGTTTAGACTAAGTTTTGGCTGGTTTTCCTTCTAAATCAGATAGATCAGAGTGGCCCATGTCTCTGTTTAGACCCTCCTGAGCCTACGCAGAACTGGAATGTATATAGGTTCTCCTGTTTGGCTCTAGTGAGCTCAGAGCATGCCTGATTTGATTCCTTAGTCCATGGATTGGCTGCCCAACCCTCTGAGGTCATGCCTGGCACCATGGTCTAGTCCCCTGATCTTGCAAAGCTACCATCAAGGTTCCAACTCCCTGTGTGCTTTGTTCCTCCCTTCCTGTGACCTTTCTGTCACACCTGAGATGATTGACTTATACAAGATGAAAGATTTTGGGGGTGTTAGTCTGTGACTGTCCTGTTGCTTTGGTGAGCATGTTATGGCAGAGCCCAGCCCCTCACGGAAGGAGAAAGAGGAAACAGCCAGGCTCTCACCATCTCCTTGACATTGGTGCACAGCACCAATGTGACCATTAGTCCCCACCTCTTAAAGGCTTTACCACTAGCTGGGCAGTGATGGCACATGCCTTTAATCCCAGCACTTGGGAGGCAGAGGCAGGCGGATTTCTGAGTTCGAGGCCAGCCTGGTCTACAGAGTGAGTTCCAGGACAGCCAGGGCTACACAGAGAAACCTTGTCTCAAAAAAACCAAAAAAAAAAAAAAAAAAAAAGGTT